AATTTATTTATCTCAGATATAAATGAGATTACAATCATTGTTTAAAGTTGGGTCTTCATGTTTTGAAAGTAGCATGTAAGCCCATGTACCAATGAGCTCTTCTTCTGTTACATAACCATTAAAGTGTTGCAAAAATAGGCCATTTTTTTAAACTTTTCATAAAGTCATCTTTTAATTACATTAATAAATTACTATTATGAAGTGACTTTCTCACTAAGCATAATCTGTTTTGACAGATTTAAAGGTTAATCATTGAAGGAAAGAGGGAATATATTGAAGCATTTTGATAGTGTTAGAAGTCAAATAATTATAGTAGTGATTCAAGTATCACTATTGTGAGTTCTTTTATTAGACTGTCAATTTTAATCATTTGTGCTTACCCTTAAATGATGCAAAAGGATGTTGGAACTAATGCAAATTCTGTATATAAATTTAGTAGTTGAAATTGTTAGTTCAAATCAGTTGTTAGTTACTCTTTACACAAAAAATTTGCTTCAGCTTACAATAAATAGGTAAAAATCAGGATGAACAAAAATATTAATTGGAATAGACTGTTAAAGCCAGGAAGAAGAAACATACCTTATTAGTAGGTATGCCCAATAGTCAGAATTTGGTTGTGAGATTCCTGGATGCTAAAAATGAAAAGAAAACAGTATATAGTTAGTTGTCCTCAATACCCTAGAAGAAACAGAATTGTTTCTCAAAAGAAGCAAATCTTTCTCTAAGCACTTAATTCTAAAAGTAGTTCCATGCAGAAGTCTTTCTTCATGTAAAGGACACAAAGATATAGTGACCATTTAATAATCCTCAGCAACATCTCTTAAGGCCAATGCCTTCATCGATTTTATAAGTGTCTCTGAACACCACTGTAAAATTGGTTTTGTTGGAGACTGAGATAACATTGTTGGATAAGAAGTATCATATCTAGATAAGTTGGGCCACGTCCATCTAACTTTCTGTCCTGATTATGTGCTTTTCAGCCAGCCTTCCAGGGGTGGGGAGAGGTGGGCGTCAGCTATTAAGGTTCTGTTCTCCACTCCACTTACCAAGGGCTGGAATCATAAGTTGGCTGCACTTTTGCAACTTTCCAACGAACAAACAAGTTGTTAATGTGCATCTTTGCTGCGTTATTGAATGGTAACTGAGGGATCCAGGATCTCTTATTGGGGGCTTGAGAATAGGGAGAATTCATCCCTTAATATGTCCTGAAACAATAGTTGTCAATTTTGGAGTATTTTTCCATAAATCTGTGCTTTTACACTAGACACTCTGTGATGTGAATGTTAGCCCATTGCATAAATAAGGAACGTAGGTCACACAGTAGGAGGTAGAGACAGGGTTTGTATCTGATGCCAGTCCAACTCTGACCCATCTATAGCATACCTTTCTCATCACCCCGTGGGACCTCTGGCTGATTCTCACTAAGCACTGGAAATAGAGTGTAATTTTTTTCTCCTCAATTCCAACTTCCAGTATGGAGTTCTGCTGTTGAGTCTATGTTTGGAGAGGAACGTGAGATCCTACAAAAACAAAATAGTTCTTAGGAGTTTGACTCATTGTTTGGAAACCTGAACTCATGCTGCACTGCTGTTGACCTCTTTCTCCTTTTCAGAGCTCCATCCTCCCTTTTCTAGAAGGGTTTGTTCCCTAAACCAGACACTTCTTCAGAATAAGGCTTGTCTCCTTCATCTCACATCCTTAGCATGCAGCACAGGGATCTGCGCAGGGGAGGCAGTCAGCAGTGTTTAATTTATGCAGGAAGTGAGCCTGTAGAGTCCCTGAAGACATTTGTTTAGTAACCAAGAGTTTTTTGAAACTAAAAAGTAAAAGATTGGGAATTGACTTTGCTTACTTTATTTTAATTCAGAATTTTTGACTCTGTTATACAGAGAAATCCTTTCTTTGTAATGAGTTTTTTTTTTCCTTCCTTCTTAGCTTCAGAAATGGAGCAGTTACGAATTAGCCCAGCTACCATGCTCGAAGATGAGATTACATGGCTGGATAACTTTGAACCTAATCGTACAGCTGAATGTGAGACCAGTGAAGCAGACAACATCTTATTGGCAGGACACTTGCGGCTCATTAAGACCCTTCTTTCACTCTGTGGGGCAGAAAAGGAAATGCTTGGTAATTATTGCTTAATCTTACCATGTGGCAGAATGCTTTAGTTCTCAGTTACTACCATAATGTAGAATATAATTGGAACAACAGATAGTTGCTAAAGGTTCTGTGGAAAATGATTCTGTAGAAGTAGGAAATTGTCTGCAGTTTTAGTGGCTAACAAGCTTAAGGTATGTTTTACCTGTGTCATTAAATTACATGGAAAATTTCACAGTGTTTAAAGTGTTTGTATCATAAAACATCTTAATGCCAAGCAAAAATTATAATTCAAAGTCGATTGTCTCTTTAAGCTGGTTTGTACTTTATAATGTACATTGTATCATATATCTTAATTCTTTAAAGGATGATTCTCATGTGGAGAGGTAGCCCCTAGCCACCACTTCCCCAATGGTGAGGTATATAGGAAAGTCTCCTGGGGTACATACATGATCTGAGAAAGCATATCCAATATTGTAAGTTATATTCAGAAACAAAATTAAAATGAACTACCCCCTTTTATACAAACTAAGTTCTGCAGAATCTTTTTGGCTACATAGAAAAGAGTGATTCATAGAAAAGAGTGATTCTTAGCCAGGAAAAGTAGGGAATATCATTTTTACCTGAAAAAGGCAAGGTTTAAAAAGTTCGTTCTGTGGATTCCCTTTGCCCAGAGTACAAACTATTCACTAAAATCATTCTGCCTTGTGGTGTTCTTGGCACTCAAGTTTCCAAAGTGAAAGGTTGCCTTTTTGCATTATATCATAGACTCATAAATTAAGACACCCTCATTTGTTTTCCTTTGTAGACAAATGGCCCCTCCACCCCACAGTGTTTTGCCACATAGTAAGCTCTCAAAAAATAAGAATTAAATCAAAGCGTATGCATGCTTTGGAGTGGCTTTGGGTGTCTCTGCTTCTCTGATAGGAAAGTGCAAGATAGGATGTCTGAGTGAAAATCTGTCCTCATCCTCAACATATTATGCTTTGTTCCAGGTTCCTCACTCATTAAACCATTGTTAGATGACTTCCTTTTCCGAGCTTCTAGAATTATTTTAAATAGTCATTCTCCAGCTGGCAGTGCCGCCATCAGTCAACAGGATTTTCATCCAAAGTATGGAACATGCACGTTGTGTTCAGTTTTGGTAAAAATTCTAATTCAAAACTTTAGTCCAAAAAAAGATTTTCTTAATTTGGAATGTTTTTCCCATCCTGTGAGTCTGTGTGTCCTATAAGATATTATCTGCTGTGTGAAGAAATGCATGCAAAGAAGTTTGATATAAAGCCTGCCTGGCATGTAGTATGCACAGAATAATGGTGTTAGTACCATTATCATTGGAGTGGAAGAATAAATAATAAACTGATGAACTTCCCAAGAGAAACCAAGGTTGTAATTATGTCCAGCTGGATGTGGAGGTGCATGTCCCAGCTACTCAGTAGGTGGAGATTGAAATAAACGTGGTTGGAGGTCAGCCTAAACAAAAAGTTAGCAAGACCCCATCTCAACCAACGAGCTGGGCATATTGGTACATGGTGTAATCCCAGGAGCATAGGTAGGAGGATCACAGTCCAAGGCTAGCTCTGGCAAAAATGCCAAGATCCTATCTGAAAAATAGCTAGACCAAAAAAGGGGGGCTGGGGTGTGGTCTCAGGGGTAGAGTGCCTGCCTAGCAAGCACGAGACCCTGAGTTTAAACCCTAGTACTGCCAAAAGAAAAAAAAAAGAATTATGTCCAGCGGCTGTGAGTATAGCTCAGTGATACAGCACAGACTTAGCATGCAGGAGGCCTGAGTTTAGTCCCCAACACCAAAGGAAAAAAAGAGTAGGTCAAAGTAAATAGGCTCCAAGTAAAGGCTTTAGGGTTTCTCAGAAAAGAACAGACGCTATAGTGCATGAATTTTATCTTTGCTGAATGAAACTATGTTGTCATACTGCAACTGTTAGTTGTTTATTAAAGCTCTAATCTGAAAGATTCTTTTGTTATGTCTACCATACTCAAGTGATATTTGCACTTTTGGTGACAGGAAGAGTGGGGAGCCATAAGCTTCCACCTTATTTGCTCTCAATCTAACTTACTTTGTTAAAGGACATGAAAACCAGTTAACTGAGTAATCCTAAGGAGACTGAAGATTTGGAGTTCCAGTAATTGACATGGACAGGGCACAAGAAGCAATATTTTGTGGAATTTAAGAAGTATCTAGTCAGAGATTCCTTATTAACAAAATCTGTTTTAGAAAAAGAAAACCTTCATTATGACTCCAGTCCTCATTTCCTGCGCCACTCTTGTTTTGGAAGATGTAGTGCTAGATCCATAGTAATTGTTAATTTAAGCAGCAGAAATACATGAGTATTTTGATTTTTCAGTATACACACAAAAAAAATAAATCTGTCCACAGTTTTAATGAAATTTTTATTGGTGAATCTTTTCCTTTTATTTTTATTAAAAGTTATGTCTCCATCAACAAGGAATATTTTTTAATCATATATAATGCTTTGAATAGAAAAGGAAATATTTTGTTCCACCTCAACCCCAGTGTTCTGAATGCTTTCATTTATGCCAGTGATCCCAGCCTTTTCCTACCAAAACCTTTAACCAAAAAGAGATTTATAAAGTTGAAAACTCTTTTCAAAAATAATGCTATTCCTGTATTAACAATAACAAAACAAATTCTTTGGCTGGTGTATATAGTACCTCTGATTAATTTCTTACCCATCCTTTTCAACCCATAAGCCTAGAGAAGAAGCCAAGGGCAGTGCCAGCTCAGTGGCCATTGTCCTCAGTGCCTGTTGCAGTGCTGACCCAAGAGCCCACTCTTGACCACCTCCTGCACTGCTAAGTGGTCACACAGAGAGTGGATGTCCTCTTTTCTGTGTATCTTTCCTCATCTGTGATCCCTTGGTAGTATAAGGCTGTCATCAATTACAGTGGAAAGTACTGTCCATGCCCAAAAGACAGGCAGCAGAGGAAGACTGTGTTCCTGCAAAATGCTTGCTAGTTATCTTGTATGTCACTTTCGATAAATTGATTTGACAAGCTGTGCACTTCTACCTCCATTTCCTTCAACAAAGTGAAAAATCCATTAGTGTCCTTGAGGAAGTTTTTGAGATTGGATCGTACTATGTAGCCAGGCTGGCTTTGAACTCACCATCAACCTGCCTCAGTCTTGCACCACCAAGACATGCATACAGACATGCACCACCATGCCTGACTTGAACTGGTGATCCTCGGGCACATGAAGTGTTTATGAGTATCTATTCTGATTTACATAGCTCCCTTTTTCTCCCATTTTTTATTCAGATTTCAGGGAGGCATCTGTAACAGTCTTCCTGCCTACTTTGATTAGAAGATAAGTTATTCCTGTGTTGTGTTTATTACACAGTTTTCCAACTCTTCTCCCTCCATTCTGGTTGATCCATTCCTTAGATGAGAACTCCTTGTTCTGGAGTCGTAAAGAATTTTGCTGTTTTGTCATCAGGCCAAGAAAATATGTAACTCTAAACCATATTCATCCCTCCTGTATTGTTCACCTCTAGATTACTAGATTTCTGGCTTAGACTTTACTTAACCATGTTTAAGGAATTGTAGCTCTTGTACTCTCATTTCAACTGTTGATTTATTCAATTAGCGGTTTGAACAGATTGTTCATTGTTGAAATTATGTTTTATTTTTAGGTGTAGTACAGTGAATAGTCGATTGGCAGCTTATGAAGTCCTTGTAATGCTGGCTGACAGTTCACCTTCAAATCTTCAAATTATAACAAAAGAACTACTTTCTATGCATCATCAGCCTGACCCTGCTCTCACCAAGGAGTTTGATGTAAGTTCTCTAGACTGTGATGAATTTAATGATCTCTTAAATGTATAATTTTAAGACTACATTCTTCTAACCACAAAAAAAGTATTTTTTGCATATTATGTTCACATACTAAAATCAACTATTAAGTTTTTTATCATTATATTCTACTGTAGTATATTATGAAATGGTATTCTTTTAATTAAAAAGGAAAGGCATTTTCAAGTTGATTGATAATTATCCTGAGTAACAAATAGCATTCTAACCTGTTTTTTATGCTAGCATAGCCAGGCACTACAGATAGCAAAATTAGATAAAGGTTGGCCTACCATGGCACAAAATCCCTGGAGTTCACCACACATGCACTGTTAGGCTTTTAGAGCTCAAAAATGAAAATAAGATCCCGGTCCTCAAGGAGGTCAGAGTTTGTATTGGGGAAAAGACAGACCCATAAGCAGGTGATTTAACAGAGGATACCATGTAAGGTAGAGGTGTGTCCTGAATGCTTTCCTACCAGACAGGTTCTTCACCAGTGATGGTTTCTTAGAAAGCTTCTTAGAGAAGATGAGACTTGAATTAGAGCCTTAAAAGCTAGTGAACCAATTGAAGCAGGGTAGGAAGGCTATTCATTCCATTCCAGCATGAGAACAGGCGCAGAGCTATGAAACAGCTTGGTATATGGTAGTATCTGTAAGAGGAAAGTAAGTTGCATGTGTGCTGAAATACAAGAGGAAGAGTGGGAAGACACTTCTAAAACTATTGGCTTACTCCTCTAACATCATGTAGAAATCCAGGCTACCCTTCAGATACCTGAGCTGGGTATCATGGAACATACAAGTTAGGCAGAAGAGAAAGTGGGACCAGATATTCTAGACAAGAAGAAGTAGCATTTGCAAAAAAATTTAAAAAGTGTGAGCATATAAATTGGGAAAGTTTATTTCTAAAATCTTAGGTTATAATGCTTATTTTATGCTGTGCTTTAGTTTTACATATATTTACTTAGTTACCAGAGTATAAATATTTCTATTTTTTTTCAAAAGTCAAAAATATATATATATGATATACAGCATAATGGAGGAAATATTCTTCAATAAATAACCTATCTTTTTAGCACTGTTTTGAAACAGTTTTTCTTTTTTAAATCTTTGTTTTGTACTGCAAATAAATTTCAGTGTTATTTAGGTCTTAGAAATCCTCCTTCTCTAAGTTAGTGTCTGACATTAATGGAAAGTATGTGATATTTAGCAAGTCTTTGAGGTCCAAAGACCCACTGGTTTTTGTCAACTGTTTGGTTATTACATGGATGCTGATATTTGATGTAGATAGGTTTAGTCATGGCATGGAACCAACTTCCTATTTATAATTGCATTTCAGTGTCTAACTACAATATTCTTTTCCATTTGGAGAAGTGCAGTGTTGAATGTTAGCCATAATGCCTTTTCTGGATTGTTTTTACCCAGAAAAGCACTAGATTGGATCTTCATTATTTCATAGTATTTGTAAGTGAAATGGTAGGGTATGTGTATCAGAAAAAGTTTAATAGAAGAATATTACCTTTTCTAAAGGGGAAGGTATGAACATGTGCTTTCCCTGAACATCTACACTGCAATATTCCTCATGGTAAACACTTCATAGAACTTTGTTCCTTTTTGCACAGTAATACCTCTGTTGTGAATATGTATTTAGTAAATCTGCTTAATTTATGCCTCCAGTCTACCTACAAGACTATAAGCTCCTTGGATCAGAGACCATACATATTTCTGTTCTTAATCCCTGCCACAGTATCTAGCATGTAGTAAGCCCTTAATAAGTATTTGTTGAATGGTAATCGTGACTAAATGCATGACTACATAAATGAATAAACAAATACACCTGCTGTATGTGTCACATACTTTATGAACAGAAAAGAAACATTGGGATTATAGTGTTTTATCATTACACTAGCACCATGTACAGAGGAACTTTATGAACATGGTTTGCTAGTATGAATTTCATAACACAGATGGATACATCTGTAAGTGTGCCTCTCTCTCCTCCCAGTCAATCTGTATGGCTATAATGGAAATGTACTTATGGTAAAGGTGCTCATTCTCTTCCCTGCTGTTTCTGTTCCTCTCTCTCCCAGTACCTTCCCCCAGTGGATAGCAGGTCCAGCTCAGGGTTTGTGGGGCTAAGAAATGGTGGCGCTACTTGTTATATGAACGCAGTCTTCCAGCAGCTGTACATGCAACCTGGCCTTCCTGAGGTGATTTCTCTCCTTTCTTCTGTTTGTCATTGAAGATAAAATATGCATTACCTGAAAACTGTTCCATACTTATTTTTTGCTTATTAAACTAGTCATAATGAGGGATTCTTTAGTAGCTTCTGAAATCTCTATAGACATGGTTATAGTCACACATTTTTATAAATCAGCTGCCTGTATGATAATAGACTTGACCTAGTGTGATTTTTTTTTTAACCTCCAAGTAGTTTCTCAAATTAAATTCAGTAAAATTTACTAACATTTTTAATATTTTAGGAATACGGGCTCTATCATCGGTAATGTAATAATGTATAATAATGGTGTAGCTTATGACATGGCAGGCACTGAATTGAGAGTATTCCACGTGTGTTGTGTTGCATTTCTTTCTTATAGAGATCACTAGTATCACTGGGTCAAGAATTTCCTAACCGAACAGAGGCTTAACGAGATGATTTACTCATAATGACACCAGCTAGGAATATCAAAGCTAGATATGTGCAAAGCCATATGTAGTATAACATGCTAAGAAACCAGTGTGGGTGCTCATGTGTGTGTGTTTGGGTTCACATGAGGCGGTTAGTCATAACTGATGGAAGACATTTCTTTCCCTTTTAGTCACTACTTGCGGTGGATGATGACACAGACAATCCAGATGATAGCGTGTTTTACCAAGTGCAATCTCTCTTTGGGCATTTGATGGAAAGCAAGCTGCAATATTATGTACCTGAGAACTTCTGGAAGGTATTACTCTCAATCACTTTGTGTAGATTTAAAGATGCTAGATGTTTAGAGTTTGGCTACATTTTTTCTCAAGTGATAGTGGTTTCTTATCTTCATCAACTCTAGATTAATCCCATTGCTAGGAATCTATTAAAAAAATTGGGGAGAGAGTAAATTAGTACTTGATTTCAAATGATTAGAATGTTAACAGCCATTCGTAATTCCTAGGGATTTACTAATCTACTTTGAATATTTCTCATGACTCTTACTTTAGCCCTTTAAATTAAAAAAATTATTTTATGGGTGGCCCCAGAAGTTGGTTAGTTTCTAAGAGAAACTCTGTTCCTTGGCCTGACGCCTCGCCCTGTTCCTACTTCTGGTTTCAGAGACTTAGTGCGATTATGAGGTACACGGAAGAACACACGTAGATGGTGGAATACAGGCTGCCTCATTTCAGTAAAGACTTCCACTTCCTGATAGTGAACTTATTTTTCATTTACATTCATTCCTTTTCCATTATGTTCAGAAATTGATTTCCCTTTAAAACCATGTTTAATTCTTGCTACATAGATATTCAAGATGTGGAACAAAGAACTCTATGTGAGGGAACAGCAGGATGCATATGAATTCTTTACTAGTCTTATTGATCAGATGGATGAATATCTCAAGGTAATAAAAGTTTTGTTTTTCCTCTAACTCCCTCAGACTGACTAGAGTATGAGAGGGGTGCCTTCAGATTTGTGGTTACTATAAAACTAACAAATCAGAAATTAGTAATCTTCAATATCACAGCTGTAATTCATTTCTTCTGGGTTTCAACATCAAAACATATACAGATAGATCACTTGATGGGAGTCTTCTTAATTCTTAATCTATACTACATAACAATAACAATTTGTAGTTGCACATCCATACTGTATGTCCCTTAAGGTAGTCTGGCCTCCCTGGCCCCCTGCAGACAGTTTGGGAACTGAGAATTCCCTGGTAAAGGGACCAAATCAAGAAATTATTTGTGATGGTGTATAAACCCAAAGCTTCTCTGCCCCCATAACATAACATACTTCCTGAATGGTATTGTCTTCTAAGATTGCCTGCTTTCACTGCCAGCATTGGCCTCTCAGCACTAGACACAATTTATCTATTTCATTTCTTTAAAATAACATAGATTTATACATCCTCTCCATGAGAAAAAAGAAAAGATTTACTGAGAGTTCTTCTCACTTGATACTTGTGGCATAAGAAGAAAGATTCAGAATCATCATGGAACACATACTCCTGGTCAGCAGTCCTGACTGACTCTTCTCTCCTATTTTTCTGATTATTTGCTTTACCCTGACATTAGGTCTAATGATGGGTTATTAACTTCCCATTAGTTCCTAACTGAAACTGCCAAAATCACTCCTTTTAATTTGGTGATTAAATTGAAATCTGTGTTTTAGCTTAGGTCTAAAGAAAATTCAATATGAACCAACTGTTTTAGGGCCACTAATTAAATTTTTAACTTTTTATTCCAACAGAAAATGGGGAGAGACCAAATATTTAAGAATACTTTTCAGGGCATCTATTCTGATCAGAAGATCTGTAAAGACTGTCCTCACAGGTTAGTGATGATGCTGCTGACACAGAATGATCATGAGGGCTGGGAGGTAGCTCAGGGCTAGCGCATGTTCAAGGCCTGGGTTCCACCCTCAACACTCAAAAAAAAATTATTTTAAAATGAATGTTTCTGTATGTTACAACTTTTGCATTTGCTGAAAGACTTAAATATATCTTTCAATGGACCTATAAATGCTTGCCATTTTCCTTTGTGACCCTTTGTTGAAATTCACACCTATAAGCAATTCTAAGTTATCACGACATGGTGTTTTTATTTGATAGTGTGCTTTTGCAGTGTTGAGGCATGTTTTAATTTCACTGACTGTGAACATAGTTCTGTGTTCAAACTTAATAATGATAATTTCAAGAGCTCTACATTCATTAGTTTTCTGTCATCTCTCCATTAGATATGAACGTGAGGAAGCTTTCATGGCTCTCAATCTAGGAGTTACTTCTTGTCAGAGTTTGGAAATTTCTTTGGACCAGTTTGTTCGAGGAGAAGTTCTAGAAGGAAGTAATGCATACTACTGTGAAAAGTGTAAAGAAAAGGTGTTATACTTTTTGCCCTTTTTCTAAAACAAGATTAATTTGTTACTCATGTACTGTTTTTGTTATTGTTGTTGTTTGCACTTCTGGTGTTTGAACTCAGGGCCTCATGCTTGGTAGGCAGATACTCCAGCCCTTTGCTCTGGTTATTTTGGAGAAGGGTCTCACTTTTTGCCTAGGCCAGTATGGACAGTGATCCTCCCTCCTATTTTACGCTTTCCACCATAGCTGGGAAGATGGGTATACACCACCACACCCACCTTTTTTCTGAGATGGGATCTCACGAACTCTTTTGCTTGGGCTGGCCTGGAACCACAGTCCTCCCAATCTTAGCTTCCCATGTACCTTGGGATGCTAGGTATGCCACAATGCCCAGCTATGTTGAGACAAGGTCCCTTGACCTCCCTGCCCAGGTTGGCCTCAAGCTGCTGTTCTGATCTCACCTCCCCAAGTAGCTAGGATTATAGGCATGAGCCATAGGCACCTGGCTTGTGTGCAGCTTCTTTATGTAAAATCAATATTAAGCTCTAGTTGCTGCTTCCTTTAGATTATGTCATTACTTGTTTTACATGAGTGGGAAAGGCGTTTGCATTAATTACTTGATTGTTTTATTTTCTCCATGGAGATAATTGGTTTTTGCTTTTCTTTAGAGAATAACAGTGAAAAGGACCTGTATTAAGTCTTTACCTAGTGTCTTGGTAATACACCTAATGAGATTTGGATTTGACTGGGAGAGTGGACGCTCCATTAAATATGATGAACAAATAAGGGTAATTTTTTTTTTTCCTTCCTGCATGTCTTACAGCCATCACCTCACTGCCTTCTTCCCTTTTCCCTTCTGTTTTCAAATTCTGCCTTCCCTGTGAAAGGCTCTGGTTTTAGCAGCATGAGAAGCTGCTGCTAAGGGGACAGACAGATCTACAGACAGTGACCCTTGTTTCTGGAAGGTACCCTAGTGATAGCTGTGAAATAAAATGCTACTCGTGGTTGCCCAGACAGCCTGTCAGAAATGTGCTTGAAGTGGAGAGGAGTTAGTCCCCACTTAACTGGAAAATACCCTCTTACTGCATCTGAACTTTCTTGGGTACCGCTAGATATGTTTCTAACCAACACTAAGGTGGTCTTTTTGCTTTTACATAGTTTCCCTGGATGCTAAACATGGAACCTTACACAGTCTCGGGAATGGCTCGTCAGGATTCATCTTGTGAAGTTGGTGAAAATGGTAGAAGTATGGATCAGGGAGGTGGAGGATCCCCACGGAAAAAAGTTGCCCTCACAGAAAATTATGAACTTGTTGGTGTCATTGTACACAGTGGGCAGGCACATGCAGGCCACTACTATTCCTTCATTAAGGACAGGCGGTAAGGGTCTCTTAAGGCAGTTCTTCCATGCTCTCTGCCCTGTCATCACTTTCACTTTTTCTGTTCTACCCTATCATCCATACCCATCATTATGATGCAAAGAAAATTGCATTGTCCTTTGATCTTCCTTCATTTTGAATTTGTAGAGCTTGGTATAATTGTTTTTACCCCTTCAATTTGAAAAATTGTTTTAGAAACCTAAATTGTTCTTATACATTTTTCTTAGCTATCATCAAATGGTAACCACCATTTGGTTTTTAACCTTACAATGTTTGTGTAATCTCTGGATCCTAGGGGGTGTGGAAAAGGAAAGTGGTATAAATTTAATGACACAGTTATTGAAGAATTTGACCTAAATGATGAGACCCTGGAGTATGAATGCTTTGGAGGAGAATATAGACCAAAAGTTTATGATCAAAGTAAGTATTTACAAATGGATACTTTCTACTTTCCTTTAATTTTTTTAATTTTAATCAAATTAAAAGCAATTTTCTTTATTCTATAATGGATTTTGGTTTTTTTTGTAATAGGGCTCTTCTAGCTGTAGAATTACAAACTCTTTAGTAGAGTGAAATGTTCACACTGCTTATCAGAATTGCTTTTAAATAATGAATAAAAAATTTCAACCTTACAAAGGTTTCCCAATAAGTAGTTGCTCACTAAAATGTTGGTATTTCCTTTTCACTTATATAGAGAGATGATTGATTAGAGAAAACATTTCTGATAGCTGTGCTTTTAAACCATATTCATCATGCAATATGATTTTTCCTTACCCCACCCAAAGGGGAAAAGTATGAGGAAAGGTACGTCATGAAACCCAGTCAGAATTTATTTGAAAAACTATTTAGAACTTCCTTGGCATATTTACCTTCTTTCTCTTACTTCATTACCACACTCCCTTGCTCCCTGCCCTGATTTACCTTCCAAGTAAGTGATCTATCCTAATCCAAGAACGGAGATATCCTGACTTCATTCTAAGCAGTACTCTAAAAAGATCCACATTTTGCTTAGCCTTTGCATTTAATAAAGTTAGTAAGTAGTTACTTGCTGAATTTATGGACCCTTTGTTTAGATTGTCAAAACAAGGTGTTTTTATTTACAGAGATTTGTTTCTAATGTCTTATTATAAAATAGCAAACCCATATACTGATGTACGTCGAAGATACTGGAATGCCTATATGCTCTTCTACCAAAGGGTATCTGATCAAAACTCCCCAGTATTGCCAAAGAAAAGTCGAGTCAGCGTTGTAAGGCAGGAAGCTGAGGATCTCTCTTTGTAAGTTTCTTTTCCATGTAATTTGCTATGTGATTTCAGCAGGTAATATTGTGATCTTTGATGATATACTGTTTGGAGTTTAACAATAATTAACCTATAAAGAAGTTCTAAAAAAGTATTCTTAAAAGAAAATCCTTTTTTTCTTACTGCTTCCTGGACATTATTTTCCTAACAAGTTACTTGTATTTAGAAAGATATACATTAATTTATTTCATTCCAGAATTGAAATTTTTTTCAATGTAGAATTAAGATTTTTTTAAAACATTTTTGAAGCATTTATTGAATGTACTTTCTATCTCAAAGCATAGAACTGTGCCACCACTATGGGGAAGTTATTTTTTTAAAGGCATTGTTGTTAGTGAGTTTGCCTTTTTGTAAACTGGATCAGGGAAATAGACAGTTTATGTTTAGGTCTAGCACCCTGCTTATGAGGTTTAATGACTGTTAAGACAAAGGCCACTTTATCCTAGACAGTGTTCTGACTCTGCCCCTCAGGTCAGCTCCATCTTCACCAGAGATTTCACCTCAGTCATCTCCCCGGCCCCATAGGCCTAACAACGACCGGCTCTCCATTCTGACCAAGCTGGTTAAAAAAGGAGAGAAAAAAGGACTGTTTGTAGAGAAAATGCCTGCTCGAATATACCAGGTAAGAATTATGTAAACAATCCTAAGGGAGAAAATCCAGATAAATGTCCAAATTCATCCTGTAGGTCCAGAGCACTCCTGCTGGCTGCCTTCTGTATTCATTGACCTTGTGCCACCTCATTTCTTTTCATGAAGAAAGCAAAATACTAAGGAAGAAAGAAGAAAAATAGAGATGAATTAATTCGGGTTATAATACATATGTACATGGAAATGTTACAAACTCCCTGTATAGCTGTCTTAAGCAAAAATGTCCTTTTTTTTTTTTTTTTTTATCTTTTACAAAATCGGAGAACAGGAGGGTGGAATAGATCCTGTGTAGGGGGGTTGATAGGAGTGGGAAGGATGTGGACAAAGGATATTAGGAGGGTGAATACAGTGCAAATACTGTGTACACATGTATGTAAATGGAAAAACGATACCTGTAAAACTATTCCAGGGATAGGGATAGGGAGATAAAGGAAAATGGTGGAGGGGATGAATTCAAGTATGATACATTTGATATATTGTAAGAACTTTTGTAAATGCCACAATGTACCCCCCAAGCACATCAATTAAAAAAGAGAAAGAAAGGAAAGAATAGAGAAGAAAGAAAATATTGAGCTATCTAAGACAGGTAGGCACAGAGTCACTTGCACTTGGGAAAGTTCTGTTTGTCCCTCCTGCCCATAATGTCAGGTTAGAGTTCACTGCATCCTTAAGGATTGTTTCCTGATTTCCCGGAGGGATTGGTGATGAATGATATTTCATACTTTTATAGTATCTTATATATGAAGGGAAGATTTTCTCTCGTTTTTTCAAAAATCCAAAGCTTAAAAGAAGGAAATTCTAAATTACAGTTTGTTTTTTACAAATCATTTTTAGCTAAACACTTCACTAAAAATATCTTCCACATATTGAATATCTTACCTCTTTTTAAACATAATTATTAATTTTCTTTTGTAGATGGTGAGAGATGAAAACCTCAAGTTTATGAAGAATAGAGATGTGTACAGTAGTGATTATTTCAGTTTTGTTTTGTCTTTAGCTTCATTGAATGCTGTAAGTAGCTTGTTGTTTTATTATCAAAGAAGTAAGAAAGTGTTGTATGACATTCTTACTCTCAGTTTAGCATTCAGATTAGATGAAAAAAAAAATTCCCATAAATGTGTCATTTATTGGGTGATACTAAAATGTGGGTGGCATTTAGGATGCATAGTATAGGTTGTGAGTGGTGTGGGTTTGTGCACATTGGATTTTTAAAGTGCTGTTGTTTAGATTTTGTGAAGAATCTAAAGTAGCTATGAGATTGAGTAGTTGAGAAGTCATGTCAACGGATACTGGACTTTGTGGTGATTAACTTTTCCTAATTTGTAATCTCATATTGCCACACTCAAGATTAACTTCCTACTACAGTAGGAAGTTATAATTTGCCAAAAGAGAAAACATGTTCCTGCTGTGGTCTAAAGGCTCTATTTTGTGAGTTCTTCATTTTTTAAAAATTAAGAACATTATTATCTTTCTTAATTTTAAATAGAATATTTCCTATATTAAACTAGCTAGATTTTTCTTATTATTTCACTTTTATCACATGGATTATTAAATTCATAGTAAAGTATAATAATCTATAAAACTTCTGTGAAAAGTAACCTCTCTTTTTCCTCCCTTTCTCTCAGACTAAATTAAAGCACCCATATTATCCTTGCATGGCAAAGGTGAGCTTGCAGCTTGCCATTCAGTTCCTTTTCCAAACTTACCTACGGACAAAGAAAAAACTCAGGTGAGAATGGTATTCTTAGTCTGTTATGATAAAAGGCACTGGTTAATTCAATTAAAGTTAATTTATAAATTGAGCTTTTAAAATATTGTAAAGAAGACTACCTAATCTACTCAGATGACAAAGACATGGTCTCTATCCTTCAGAAATGTTTAATAGGAAGGACAGATAAAAACAAAATAACTTTGGGGGCAGGAGGGAGAAATGACCCAAACAACGTATGCACATGTGAATAAATGAGTAATAAAAAAAAATAACTGTGATGCAAGGCATACATTCAGTACAACTTTGAAAGTTGGGCAAAATTATATTCAGATATGAAGACTAGGGTAGATTTTAAAGACAATAATGACCTCGGGATTTTGAAAGGCAAAAGTAGAAAAGAGTTCATTCTACAAAAAAGGGGAGAATCTTTAAGTAGCAGAAAAAACTAGGTGTCATGAATGACTAGTTAGTTTTGTTTTCCTAGTACTTGTTAAGGGACTCGTTAAGACCACACATTTGGTTTGGATCTCATGTCGTGCCAAGAGTAGGACGTTTGGGCTTTGTTCAGTGGGAAATCCTGGAGGGGTTTTCAACCAGGGTGCATGTTTAGAGTGATGCCTTAGGAACACTTAGGATAGACATCAATTACATCTTACTCATCACTGGTTTTTATCTCCAGCACCTGGTAAGGTGCCTCACTCATTACAAGTTCTGGATAAGTAGTTCATTGAGCAAATGATTAAAGGGAAAAATTATTGAGCAGTAGTTTGGAAGAAATACCTAGAGTAAGGAGATATTTGAGGTGAGGAGAACCAGCTAGAGTCAGAAGACCACTGAGGTCTCAGTCTTTTCTCTCTCTTGCTCACAAAATGTACTTCTTCAAGTCTGGGAGGTTGGGGGAAAGGGATTGCAGAGAAACTCTTTGAGAAGAAAACAAATATAATGGCAACTTCTTTTTATGTGTAGTAACCAAAGGTATACTGAGTGGTCCCCGTCTTTATTATTTGATTCAAAATGAAAGAAATATGCTACTTTCTTTTAATATATTCATAAGATTAATTAGGAAAATTTAATTATTTTTTGTGAAATTTCCTCACGATGTCTACATGTTGCATACACTATTTCTGTTTTGTTTTTATTTACCATTTTGGGGCATTGGGGGACTCGGGAGTGGTGTGAGATCATAGGTTGTATAGTCAAGTCACCTTTTTTCTGCCAAAATATTTTATTTCATAAAGTAGGATATTATTAATAATTATAACAATGAAACATAAAAATGTTATAAACTATTCTGAAAGTGGACGTTTTGTGAGTGTGAATTAGTTATGCTGAACAAAATGCTACATGTTTGACCTTTTTCCAGTTGCTGTTATTTGGTGAAGATACAGAAGATTAAAAATTGAAGTCCAACTTTTAAAGCTCCTTTACACAGTTTTGTCTGGGGAGATCAGGAACAGTCATGTACCATCAAGTAACCAAAGCATGGGAAGAGGTAGCCTATAGGGTACACGGAGCCATGTTAGTGTGATCATTGAGTCTTTAACTTACCCTTTACACCATCCACTGTAGGTAGATAGGCAGGCAGGTGGGCTGATGGGTGGACAGACAGACAAAAAGAAAAGGAAGGAAGGGAAGAAAGAGAGAGACAGAGAAGAGAAAGAAAGAAGTGGCATTCTTTGAAGTAATACTGTATGGGGTTATTTGCTGGGGCCTAACATTGTTATTTGCTTTTTTTTTAAAGGGTTGATACTGAAGAATGGATTGCTACCATCGAAGCATTACTTTCAAAAAGTTTTGATGCTTGTCAATGGCTTGTTGAATACTTTATTAGTTCTGAAGGACGAGAATTGGTAAAGTAAGTGTCAAGGTCTTTTAACTAAAAGAAATCTATGTCTCTTCCTCTGGTTTAGAAGTGAAGTTTCTTGTAAACTTTTGTCTTTTAACTTGAAATCATTTTTCTGATTGGAGTCCATGTTAAATTCTTTTCACTGAAGCAGTAAGGAAATTATTCAGGCTACTCCCAAATCATCTGTGTTAGACTAGACTCCAGCAAGGGTTCATTGACTGCAAGGAAAGTGTGTAAGGTGATGGCCCACGAGGCATGTGGCTCAGAGGAGGCGTGCATGTCCCTTCCCTCGGTGACTCACTGTTTACTGGTGTCAAGTGAATAGGTAAATGGTCTAAAGTTACTACACATTCTACGCATTGTCTATGCTTAAATTCTGGCTAAAAAGTTATTTTTCAAAAATCAACTCACAGTATATTACCCATGATAGTACATTTACCTGTGCACCTGAGATTTTAGAAAAAAAAAAGTGATTTGCCTTTTTTTGGTAAAAATTCAGTAAGCTCTAGTCACTCCAAATGAATGTTTATACCTTACTCCCAGTCCAGCTCATCAGGTCAGCTTCTGTTATCCTTGGGGAGTTCAGCATTATGGGGTTGCCCAGCAAGCACCTTTGGTGTGGGTGAGGCAGCATTCTGTCTCCTGTACCCTCAGTGGACGCTTCCTTCCCTCTGCCACAGTACTGAAACTTCTTATGTCAGCTCCCTCCTCTTCTAGCTAATGACCTGATCCCAGATGTCACAGAAAATAGAGGTGAACAAATGAGCGTTCATCACACGTGCCACACACCTGCCAGAGTCTGTTCCCATCCTTTGCTTTCGCCCTGTTGAGAAGGAGCGTCCTCTCTTCTCTCAAAATGAATCTTTACATGTGCAGGTCTTCTCAGGGAACTTGGCCTTTTAATTATCTACTCTTGTTCCTACATCTTTACCTTCTAGAATTTTCCACTGGTTGATTCTGACACCATACACTCTTGCTCTGGTATCTCTCAACTTAAAACAAGCACACAGCAAGGAATTCAGAAATGTAGTTCCCTTCCCACAGTCTGGATCTGGAGATCCAGTTAGGAACCAATCAGAATTTTTTTCTCTTTGCATTGGTGGGGATCATGCATGCTTGTCGAATTCTCTGCCACTGAGCCACATCACAGCCTGGATCAGAACTCGTAATCCCATATCCCTTTCATCTCTGTGTCTCAGCTCCAGACATTCATTGGCCTACTTAATATCACCATTTCTTTTTTCTGTTCGCTAGCTTCATTTAGCAATAAAAGTATCCTTTTTTTTTGGTACTGGAGATTGAACCGAGGACCTTGAGCTTGCTAGGCAAGTGCTCAATGCCCCGGGCCCTTTTTATTTTGTTTTTGAGATAGTGTATTGCTAACTTTGCCCAGGCTGGCTCCAAACTCGAGACCCTCCTGCCTCCACCTCTCAGGTAGCTGGCATTATAGGCATGTGCTACCACACCTGGCTGAAAATGTCCTTTTTGAAGCAAATAAGATTACATTTACTTTTTCTTCCTCGAAGTTCTTCAGTAGATTCCCATTGCAAAACTTCAGTAAAATCTAAAATCTTTACTATAACCACAAGGCCTTATTTGATCTTGTCTTTGTCCTTCTAGTCTTGCTTTGTTTCACTTCCTTCTTGTTTATCAGGATTTAGCCATCCTGGCTTAATGGTGCATTGAACATGCTTTTTTTTTTCGTGCCTTAAGTGACTTGCACCCAATATTCCTTCTGCCTGTTCCCTCTGTGCATGGCAAAGTATACGCCTTCTGCTCCTTCAGATGTCAGCTTAAATAACACTTACTAAGAGAGGCTTTTCCTGATCACCCATTCTGAAGTAAGTTTTCCCTGTTGGTCTACTCCTGGTAGTTTTGCCTGTCTTTCCCCTAACCTTCAGCTTCTTGAGAACAGTGTGGTTCCCTACTGTACACAAAGAGCATGGCATATAACAAGCACTTGAATATTTGTTCATGTACTCAATATGTACAAGCAGAAGAGAGAACTAAGAATTCTTTGAAGTATTATATGCCCATCCCTTTAGAGTTTGCAGTAGAGATAACCTTCCACCCAATTTTTCCAGTTCAGTTCCAATAAGACTGAGTATTGTCTAGGCACTGGAATGTAATAGAACAATGATCCCTTTGTATGGAACTTTCTCATGTACCCATTCCCCAGGTTGAATTGTCCTTCATTCCTTTACACCAAAGCAGACTTGCTTTTGGGGGAGTGGGCAGTACTGGGGTTTGATTGAACTCAGGGCCTCCCTCTTGCTAGGCAGGCACTCTACCGCTTGAGCCACTCTGCCAAGTCTGTTTTTGTGTCGAGTATTTTCAAGATGGGGTCTTACAAATTATTTGCCCTGGCTGGCTTCAAACATGATCCTCCTGATCTCTACTCCTCAGGTAGCTATGGTTGTAGGTGTAAAGCCACCAGTGCTGACTCGGACTTGCTTTTGAATACTCTGAAAAATTATCTTCCTTTGGTAGTATGTTTTGGTTTCTTAGTATTTCTTATGGTCAAGAGTCCCAGTGAATTACCTGACAGTTTTTATGAGGACTAATTATCATCACTGTCAATTGCTGTGAGTTCATATGTTTGAAGAATTAATATTTTTTCTCATTTCTTTCTTTGAAACCTTTAAAATATTTTAGGTTGTCATTGTTATAGCTAAAAAATATATATTGTATAGAGTGAGTAGCCTTTACACAAAATGCTTGGGACCAGAGTATTTCAGAATTTGGGGGGATTTTAGAATATTTACATTTGGTACCCTAGAGATGGAACCCAAGTTTGAACATGGATTCACTTATATTTCATAAGTACCTCATCCATGGTAGCCTAGAGATAATTTTTAACAATTGTGTATTAAAGTCTCATGGTGTGGAATTTTCTACTTGTGATACCATGTTGGTTCTCAAAAGGTTTGTCTCAGATTTTACAGCATTTTGGATTAGGGGTGGTCACCCTATACTACTATTTCTATAACTGAAATTGTGAAGAGAGTGGTGTCTAAACATAAATAAAAGTAGAGAGAATAATGAACTTTCTCATGTACCCATTCCCCAGGTCGAATTGTCAACATTTTGTAAGATCTTGGCTCCCTGTCCCAATTCCCTGATGTCCACACACTCATGCACGTGTCTTTTTTCCTTCTGTTTTAAAGTAAATTTCAGACATACGATTCAGGTAAATTTTTAAAAAGCAATTTATCATTATCACACCAAACAAAATTAGTAATTCTTTCATATCATCATCCCCTATCCATATTCAGATTTTCCCCAAATAGCTCAGAAATACCATTTTAGCATAGGGTTCATAAAAATCCAGATCCACAAGGTCTACACCTGGCCTTTGGTCTCTATATTTCTTGAGACCCTTAGTCAGTACACTTCCTTGGCCGTCACTCCCTTGTCTTACAATTTATTTTGGCAGAACTTGCCTTTCTCCCTGCAGAACTCCCCACATTCTGGATGTTTGCATTCTTTTGGTGTCTGCTGGAGTGCTGTGATAGGAAATAGCCCTCCGCAATAGGTATTCTTTCCAAAAGAGTTACACCTGTATCTAGTCACACCCCAGAACAAATATTACAAGACTGCTTGTTGTATTTCAACCATTTTTAGAGTTGCCACTTAGAGCCATAGTGATTCTAAGTGAACAGAGCCTCATTTGTCTGGCTCCAGACAGCATTAACAGTATGTGGAGTGAGCAGTAGCAGTGTGGTTCAGAAGCCCCTCTTATTCGTGAGTGCTGAAGCTCTTAGGAGACCTGACCTCGTACACCTTAGTCATTTTGCTTCTTGACTGTTACGTGGGAGCTGTGTTGGGCAGGTTGAGATTACATAGTTTTATTCTTTTTTTTTTTTTCCTTTTTCTTTTATTATTCATATGTGCATACAAGGCTTGGTTCATTTCTTTCCCCCTGCCCCCACCCCCTCCCTTAACACCCACTCCGCCCCCTCCCTCTCCCCCCCCCAATACCCAGCAGAAACTATTTTGCCCTTATTTCTAAT